AGATGGCGTGGATGTGACGGTGGGTTTTAGGATTTTTTTTTTTTTTTAATGTGTAGGTCATAAACTGTATGTCACAACCGGATTTACTTTGGAAGATCTGAAAAACAAAGAAGATTACCATTAATACTTTCACTTCCTGTACCCGAAGCCAAGCCTACAGTCTTGGTTTCCTCTTCTTCTCCATTGATTTATTAGCTTTAAGTTTCAGATCGACATCTAACCTCCATATCCCTTATGTAGGGGGCCGAGAAGTAACGTTGTGAATTCCTTATAGCTGATCAATTGTGTTTGAACTTTGAAAGACTTTGCCTTCATACATGCCATGACGATGTGGGTCAAGTCTTGGCTAGCTGCTTTGTTTGATTTTGAATAAACGCGTTTTGAAAGTCTGGTGAAGACCTGAAAAGCAAAGGTGGGGATACAAACTGTTTTAGACAAGGTGTGGCACTCCAGGTTTGGACGAAGAAATCTTCAAGCTTGATCGAAGGCTAGATTGTGAAGGCTTTCAGGAAGAACTCTATTTCTTTAATTTATCATGTGGAGGTAAGGTGGCCATACAAACTGTTTTATTATTTTTCCATATTAATTTTATTTTAAGAAATAGGAAATCATAGGGAAATAGTATCTAACATCTTAATCTTAATATTAGAAATTGCATACCCATTGAACTTAACATACCAACTGCACACTAGTTTATAATTTGAGTTAGGTTCTAAAAACCCCCCAAAAAATTTAGTGTTAGAGTTATGAAACAATGTAATTAAGAATTGAAATAAGAAAATTATTAAGATATTATGACCAACAGATTGGTGTTATAATAAAGATTATAGATAAAGAAGGAATGATACCTTATAAAATTGATGGGTTACCATGTGATAGATATGTTTATAAAATTTGTAGAGCATCAACTCTAGAAGAATTGAAAAACTAAGTAAGATAAAAATAAAAGTTATTTTATAAGCTAAAGTAAATTCAAGGATCAAAGGATCAAAAGATTAAAAGAAATATAGTTAGAAGGTTAAAAATCTCTATTAGAGTTATGAGATTCACATTTAATATAATGAATTAGACTACACTAAAATGAATTTGAAATATAATAAATTAAATTGGAAGAATACAAAGTTGATAACTAAAAACTAAAAAGGATATAAAAGATACTGAAAGATTTGTTAAATTAGGCCAATTTGCTAAGTTGACTAGAAAATGCCTACATCTAACAAGAACAAAAGAAGGTTCAAATAAAGAGTACTTTTTCCTTTTTTCGGGTGAAATAATAGAATATCATTAATTCCTGGGAGACTTGTCCCAATTATGTCCACAAAATAATACATTAATTTCGATGCCTGTGGGCCAGGATGAATAGAGTG